AAAGAAGCAATAGCAGCTGTTGCACAGTGCACCATGAGGCCCAGACAGGCAAACATGGTGCTACTCAGCATGAGGTACCCCTCCGCCCAGATCAGGCCGAGAGCCTACAACATTGGCAGGCCCCTGGGAGCACAGCTTGGAGGCGACTGGATCGTCCATCAGCATCCCCCCTCTGAAAAGCCAGCCTTGGGGGTGCTGCAAACCACAGGAACCTGCTGCCTCCAGCCCAACTCTGACCTCCCCAGTACAGCCCAAGGGGAGAGGAGAATCTGGGGGCAGGGAATAGAAGGAGGAAGAGGAAAGGGAGTGGTGGAGATGGGAATCTCAGGACCCTGCCAAGTCTGGCCATGGCCCCCTCTCTCACAAGTGATCCCCTGACCCCAGTCTCACCTCAATGTCACGCATGAGCAGCTGCGTTGGTGTCTGCACAGGGGCTTTGCTGTCAATGACCTTCTGCACAGCACACACCCAGTGGACAGCCTCATTCAGGTGCTCCGTGTACAGGCGGTAGCAGTGCTTCCTACCAAACACCACCACAGACCAGTAGCCTGTGAAGAACCAGACAGACCGAGCGCTTGATGCTGCCCTGCTCTACCTCCATGGCCCTTGCCTGACAGCACCCCCACTCTTGCAACAGTTGTAGATTTCTCCCTATAATGTGCTCATCCCACCCTAGCCAGGGGTCCCTCCCTGCCACTGGTTTCCAGAAGCCAAAATGATCAAGGCTTTCCTACCTCAGCCTTGTGCTCCAGGTAGCAGGACAAGGCCACAGGACACTTAAGATCTTTACAGTGCCTAAGCCTTGGAGTATGCAGACAGGGACCCCATCAAGAGGGTGGGGGTGGCTGGAAGGCAGACGAGTCAGCCAGGGAGCTGCATACAGTCATGGCCACCATAGGCAGTGCAAGCCAAGAGGGAACACCATCCCCTGCACTGTGCACTGTGTCACAGGCTGGACTCCCCTCCTGGCCCCACCCCCTTGGCACTGGCAACACGGGGGCAGTGCATGGTCAGAGGGGGCAAGTACCAGTCTCCTTGTAGGTCTGCTTGTCAGGCCACAGCACGGAGCAGAGGCTGGTGAGCACCAGCATGCCCAGGCGCCTGGCCCCCTTCTCATTGCTGCTGTAGTAGTCGAGGGAGTCCTGGGTCAGCACAAACCAGTACTTCCGGGGCCTGATCCAGGAGGGCTTCACACTCCCTCGCACTTCCCTTTGCAGCCAGCCTGTGGGGAAGGGGGTGGGGGGGATGACAGGACAGAGAGTGAGTTTCCACCATGCCCCAGCCCCAACTCTACATGTCCCTCATTCACAAGAGAGTTACAAGTCCCTTTTCTCCCCATCTCCAGGGAGGAGTTCCCCAAAAAATGAAGGAAAAGCCCTCCACTTCCCCTTCTGCTCTCCCTGCTCAAAGTTCAGCTCTCCCTGAGGGGCAGAGAGTTGCACCTGAGCCAGGGGCAGCCTATACCCCACTACACACACAACCCGCTCAGCCTTGATTAGGCTGCTTGGGCTGAGGCACCCTTTCCAGCCGGCCCCCAACCCAGAGAGAGGACTTCTGGGGCAGGGGGGAAAGGGCTTTTGGGGCAGTCTGACTCTGGCTCCATAAGGTAGGACAGGCTATGGGCTCCAGGCAACAAGCCTAAGCTAAGCTTTGTTCTGGCCACTCAGGGACGGACAATTATTTTGGGCCGAGGGCCACTTACTGAGTTTTGGCAAGCCATTGAGGGCTACATGACAGGCAGTCAGGGGAAGATAAATATTAATTTCCTAAATCTTTTAAGGGCCCTGGGGGCCGGATAGAATGGCCTGGCGGGCCACATCCGGCCCACAAGCCGCATTTTGCCTACTCCTGTGGCCACTACTGCCAAATTAGAGCTCCAGGATGTACTCCACACCAGGCTTTAGTCTGTCCTGCCTCTTGCACGACTCCAGTAAGCTGCCTGGCCCCAGACACAAGCAGAGCCTAGATGCAAGCACAGCTATACAGGGACTTTCAGGACTCTCACATCACCAGGATGCTGCAGCCTGATCCCAGGGAAGCTGGGAGCCAGCCAAGAGACAAACAGGGCTCAAAGCCACAGGCCTCAGCCCCTCCAAGAGCCCCAGGCCCAAGATGTAGAAGGGCTGGTGCAGGCCTTCACAGTACCCTGGATCTGAACCCGCTGAGGCTTCACCTGCTCCACTGGGACCTGACATGAGAAGCAGAGACCTGCCCAGACACTTGCCCACCCTTCATTTTGCTTCTCCAGCACACTATAAGCCCCCAAATCTAAATGCGTTTCAGCCAGGCTCTCGGTAACAGGGCACCCAGATGATCTTGAACAGGAAAGGTAGTACCCTCACCCAGCAGAGCCCCTGCAAAACACCTGGCCCTGATCTCAGCTCCTTGCCACAGGCAGCACTCACCTTTCACAATGGCATCAGGATCCTCTTCTACTTGCCCCTGCCCCTGCCCCTGCCCCTTTTCAACGATGAGGCTGCACATCTCATCTGAGGCCAGCAGGGACCTGCACCAACACAGAGAAGTAAGCAAGGACCCCAAGAGGCAGACATGCCTCTCCCCACCCGGCTTTGCACAGGAATAGGCACATAGGTCCTTTCAGCACCACCCACTAGCAGGGTAGGAGAAGGAGGGGGCAGTAGAGCAGCCCAGCTCTGAACTCTGTAGTTCTCAACCAGAAAGACACAGAGGAAACATCTCACATAATGCCACGGGGGCAGTGCTAGTCCTGAAGCAGAGACTGGCAGATCACAAAAGGACCCCCTTTGGCACCAGCCAAAGACACAGCCCAGACTAATGTTTGGCAGATCCCATTAAGAAACAATAAGGGGAGACCCTGACAGCATTCCCCAAAGGTCACACCATCCCTACCCCCAGACAAGGAACACTGATATTGGCTTTGCCCCACAGAGCAGTTGTTGAGGACACGTCATGCCAATCCAGTGCCCAGGTTAGGAGGGGCTTCAACAGCATCCCCATCGCAAGTGCCCAGCCAGAGAACTATAGGGCACACCAGCTGCTCTTGCCCTCCCCACAACTCCTGGATGCTCCCATTTGGGGCTGTGAACCTGCAGGACCAAAAGGATCCTGTGAAGACCAACCACAATGTGGAAGAGAGAGAGTGTGTGGGGAGAAGAGCTTAGGGCCCAGCACCCCTGCCCCCTAGGCGGTGGGAAAACAGCTAAGCCATCACATGCAGATGACCCCAGCTAAAAATAAGCTGTTTGCACTTGCGGCCCTGCCAAGGAATTCGGAAAATGAACAACCAGGAAAAAATGCTGGCGGCAGTGGCCAAGCCGGGGGAGGACAGGGAGCAGCGTCATGACTCCCTGGGGCCATGACCCCCGCAGACAGCTCCACAGAGGCCTGTGCTCCCAGCCTCCCTCCCAGCTCCATCCATCCAAGCCACCACCTCCACTCTTACCCATTGCAGTTCACCTGTACCTGATAGGGAGAATCCTACCCTACCCACCCCACCAGCTTCTTCAAATGAAGAACTAAGACCTGTGAGTCCTGGATCACACCCCTCCACTCCAACCATTAAGGAGAACTCTCTCCTAGAGAAGGGTAGGGAAGGGGTTTCTAATCCTTAGAGCAGGGGTGGGAGCCAGGACTTCTAGGCTCAAATCCCAGCTCCTGCTCCAATCACCAGACAATACTGCCTCTGCCCATCTACAAGGGCAGGAGCACAGGAATCCCACTCCCTCTGGGCTCAGATATGACCCTTGGTCAAGCAAGGGCCAGATACCAAACAGACTGGGGTTGGTGATCCAGGCCAGGGACCTAGGCAGAGTCTGACTGGCAGCCTTCCAGCTCACTCCTCTCTACCTCCAAGAGCAGGTGGCAGACACTCCCTGCCCTTCCCTTAGGCCAGTGCCCTTGAGCAAAGGCAGAGTCAGGAATCACTTCTGGCAGGGCTGAGGGAAAGGACTTCCTGGGTCACTCTGAAGGCAAACAGCAGACAGCCAAACTCCAGCAAATCTGGCACTACCCAGGGCACCTCCTTGCTGCAGGGCCTGGCAGACAGGCTACTGCCAGCCCATCACCCCCAAAGCCAGCACTAATTTCAACTAGTGCAGGGACTTGGGAGGGAACAGCAAACAAGGAATAGATTCTTCCGGCAGGGAGCCTCCAACACCAAGGGCAGGAAGCCAGCCCAGAGGGAAATGGCCAGGGGCAGGCTGGGCTAGGGACACAGCAGGGAGTTTGGGGGCTCTAGGCTGGAAATGCGAGAGCACCACATCTGGTGGGGGAGGGGGGATCTATTCCCACCTAGGGCTAGTGGTGGGCTGTGGCAGAACGGAGACCCCTCATGTCCCTACCACTGGGGCTGGAAGACAGGGGTAAGGGCAGCTCCAAAGCAATCAAGACCAGGGTCCTTGTCCCAAGCAACTGTTCACTGCCTGGGCTGCAAAACAGCCTGGTTGGGAGTTTATGCTTCTCAGAGTTAGGGAAGCCATTGCCTTGCCTGTTTGCTCATGGGGATGGACTCAGGGGGGCAGCAAGGGGTACTATGCACAAGCCAGAGCAGGGAAGGGACTTCCCCAAACCACACCCAGGAATGGAAACCCCCTGTCTCTCTCCTCCCCATCCCCCAGTACCCAACAGAGCCTGGAGCTGGAGAAGGAGCCCCAAGAGCTCAGGCTGAATCCTTGGACAGCAAGTTATACAGGCTCCTGCAGGTCCAGATTCTGCCATGCCTGTATAGCTACTCTTAACACTGGAGGTGGGGGGAGCCAGCAGGGGTGGGGCACCATGCTCTTTGCTGACTGGTCTCCCATATAGGGGGCTGGAGGTGCTAGGTGGGGCCAGGCCCCACCTACCTCTAGTGCAGGGGCTGTGGGTGGTTTCTGATCCAGTCTGGAATACACTACTGCTAGAGTAAGGGATGCACCTAGAGGCATTATGCTTAGTGCAGTCCAAGGGCTCACATCCTCCCAGAATTACCACCTAGACCTGCTGGAGCCCAACACACAGAACACAACCAGGGGGGGCAGAGGCAGGGGCCACAGACTGGGGGGCATTGGCCTCCTCCCAGAGAAAGGGGCAAGGAGCATCAGAGGGGCTTCACGCTGCCACAGGCCCAGCACATGAACCAAGGAGCCAAAGCATCTCCTCCCCCCGCCCCGCCTTGCACTGCTGTAACGGGTTCCCCACTCTCATACCTAACCCAGGACTCAAGTGACACTGCTTCTCATGGCTCTTCCAGCAGGAACACCAGCCACACTAAGCCCAGGCTATCCCTGTGCAGGGGCATATGCTGCCAACTATTAAAGTAAGGCAAGGCATGAGCAGGCAGATCACTCACCGTTCAGAGCCAGTGCTTGTGCGGACAGGCTGAGTCAGGTTCACCTCCAGGGACCCCTAGGAAGGAAGGACAGAGACACGCTTAGCATCCTAGTCCCCACAGTAAAAATGATCCCCAGCATGCAACGTCTCTTCTGGGGCAGCGGGGCTACCAAAGCCCCTGTCCCCAACCACTCTGCAGCAGACTCTGGATAAATGGCTCTTTGGGGACAACTCAGGCCCAGACCAGACTCTGGCAGACTCAGGGTTTGTGCTCACTGCCATGGGGATGAATTTCACACATAGATACTACCCCCACAATGCCTCTTCTACATGAAACATGGAAAGCAGCATGCAACAATCCCACCAACCCAACAGACACAGGACCCAAGTGCAGGATTTTGAGCCCAACCCTGCAGAGCCAGGGCAGGGACAAAGCAAACTGCCCGCATGGCCTCAGCTGACCCAGCTGGGTTGAACACCGTGCAGAATTGCACAAGATCAGTGCTGAGTAATACTCTTACGGCACAAAGTCCTATTGTAACTGGGGCCACTGACTTCCTGCCTGTGTCAGTGGGATGCTGTGCAGGGAAGTCCCTAGCCCAGCAGCATGACAGGCGCTGGCTCCTCCCCCCATTGCAGGGCTTTGCCCATTCCCTGCCTGCTCTTTGCAATGTAAAACCCCAGATTCTGCTGAACTGGCAAGAACTGGGAAGGAGATACTGCAGGTCAGCACTGGAGGACCTCAACACAACTCAGGTGGGGCACACCAGAGTGGAAAGCAGGGAGCAACTCAGGTCTCTGGGTCCAGAGCTGGGAGGTGGCCAAAGGGCAAAGTAGCTAGGGCTGTAGTTCAGGATTGATGGAGGCCCCCAAATGCAGACAATTCCCCATCCCCCACCCTCCCTGCAACAGGTCCTGGACTCATCCCTGATGGAGAAGCACTCCAGCTGGCCAGCCCCTCACTGCATGCCACTGGCAGTCCAACAACGTAAACAGAGGCACAAGGGACCAGAACATCCCACACAAAAGCAGAGGAAAGGAGATCTCATCTAAAAATAGCATGGGGGGACGGGGCATAGCAGGTACCAGGAGGCAACTCTGGGCGGAAAGCTCTGTTGACCTGTGGCATTAACAGCACCTGTTATCACTATAGATGGGGAGTCCTGGGCACTGGCAGCCCACTCCCTTCTCTCACCCCGTCCCAGCCACAGCAGCTGCAGCAGCATGGAGGACAAGGGCTGTCTACCCCCGCTGCTTCCAGCTAGGGAGCTGGGGGAGGAGACTCAGAGCTTCAAGTGCAGCTGCCATGTAGAAACCTCTGCTCAGATCCTGGCCCAGCTGAGGGGCCTTGGCGGGACAGACACCTCCCTGCGCCAGGAGGAGTGGCGGGCTCGTTCTCAGGGATATAAATAAAATGCAGTGCAGGCGCTTGCGTGCAGAGCCTGGGCAGCTGCTCCCACGCTCCCAGCAAAACCACACTGAGCTGTAGATGCTTGGCAAGGCTGCTACCCTGACCTGAGCTCTCCAGGGAACGGGTACCCCAGCCCAGCTCCACAAGAGCCCTCAGGTCAAGCAGGGCAGCTACCTCTGAAGCCTGCTACCAACACTATACCAAGCAAAGGGCCCTTGGTGCCACAGAGCCTCTGCTCTCCTTAGCCAACAATCCAGGACATACTCCACCCCTAAATAGAGATATCACAGGCTCCCCCGAGGAGCACATTCCTAAAGCCACCATCTGGACTCAGCACAGGCAACTCCTTGGCTGCAACCCAACAGAGGGCCAGAACATCCTAGCCCTCCCCTGCCCTGACCAGATAGCATAGGCTTATCTCAGGGTCCAAGCACCAAGCCCTGCATCTACCTCTGCTCCAGTCTAGTGACAGCTCTGCCTCTAGGGATCCATGGGCCAAGCATAAGGTAAGCACTGAGCAGCCCCAAAGAGTGGGAGCTGGAACAGGGTGCCTACAGCCAAGGCAGGAGCTTAGCAAAGGGAGCATATGATGGTGATGGGAGCAGGGGCACAGACTGCGTGTGCCTCCTCTCCAGCTGCGCTGCGCAGCACGAGTCCCCTAAGCACAGCACTCCCTGCCCTGCCCCCTGCCAGGTGCAGGGGCCCAGGATGACAGTGCAGACAGACTGCTCTCAGAGAAGTGCCTGTCCTGTCAGGCTGCCATAATGCATTTACCACACAAGGGCAGAGGGTCTGGCAGGTGCAATACCTAGGGCAGGGCACCATGGAGCATTCAGCCTCAACACAGCTGGTAAGGACAGTGCTGAGCATTATCACAGCCCTGGGGGTTCCCTCCAAACACAAATGGGGATTTCCCCTTTTGCCAAGAAAAGAGGGTGAATGAACTACAGGGGCTTGTGAGCTCATATCTGCAGAGGGCATGAGGAATAGGAAGCACCACCTATCATTAGCAAGGAGCCCCTGGGAAGCAGGGAATCCCCGTTCTTTCACTGCCAGCCTTATCAGCTTCCCCAACACAGCCTGGTGGTGGGGGTGGGAAGAGAAGGGAAGCATGGCCTACTGCAGGTTTGGCATATCAACCCTCACCAAAGGAAGCAGCAACCAAGGCCTGTGAGGTCTGATAGGTGCTGTCCTGCTTGCCATCAAGAGCTAGCCTTCCCACTCTCACCCCCACATGAGGCATGCATGCAAATGTGTGCGCTTGTACCAGTCTTCACCACTGTATCACCCCAATGGCAATGAGAAACAAAAGCCCAAAAACCCGGGCACATTCCATCCAGTGCCGATAAGGGACCAGGGAAAACAGCAGGGTGCCTCAGGCATCTCCCTGCCCATGACAGCACCTGAATATGAGCTTGCTGGCTTTGGGACAGCTCAGAGCTGAAACAGCAGAGTACCAAGCCACCAGGCCAGAACAGAGGGACGACAGCCTGTTACAATGGCTGGGCACCCTCAGCTCTGCCCTGCTGAGGCCGTTTGCTCCTTGCACCATAAGCCTGGCCACTTGCTCACTCAGACCGTCACTGTGCCATGGGATTCAGCACCCCTGGCCCTTGCAGCTCCCTGCACAACACCCAGCACAGCAGAAGCCCTGCATGTTTCCCCATCTCTCCCTGCCCCAGAGCATTCATATATTCCAAGTTGCCAGGCAATTCTTCTCTTCCCAACAGGCTCTCCCTTGTCTGGCATTCAGGGCCTTGATTCATGTGCTCTAGGGCCCAGCATCTGATCAATACCAAGGCTCCCCTCCCCTGCTGCCAAGTGCCTGAGGTGCTACCAAATGACTAGTCCCTGCATCACCACAGAAGACAGCTGATGGTCTTCAGAGAGGGAAGGAACTTCCCACCCCACACACCTTCCCAGCCTCATGGGAACCCAGCACTTATACCTCACCACCAAGCCCCAATGGCTACTTCCCCAAGTTGTTTCCTGGACCAGGTTCAGGTCCCCCCAGCCACAGCCACCCTACCCTAGGCCTGCTCTTACACCCAGAAGCTGTCCCCTTTCCCCCCAAGCCTGCTCAGCCTGGCAATCCCTCCCAGTTAGCCCAGAATGGACAGGACTCTCTTCCCGCCTCCATGATAGTGCCAAGGTCCCTGGGTCTCAGAATCCAGGGTTGGCACAGCAGCTTGGCACTGTGCAAGCCAGCACAATTCACAGGCTAGTGATCAACTCGGGTGATGCAAGACCACCTGCTCCCTGGAGTTACCATGCACAGCATGACCTCCTAGCTCAGGGGCAAAATGCGGCCCGCCAGGCCATTCTATCCAGCCTCCGAGACCCCTAAAAAATTTAGAAAATTAATATATATCTGCCCCTGGCTGCCTGTCACGCGGCCCTCGATGGCTTGCTGAAACTCAGTAAGCGGCCCTCCGCCTGAAATAATTGCCCGCCCCTGTCCTAGCTTGTACTCTCAGCACTGAAGGTTGCCCTAGGTACTGGACCCACAGCCAGGGGGCAGCAAGGGGTCCTTCCAGATGGGAAGAGAGTCCCCACTTGGGATGACTCACCCATCTCCATGGCATTTCTTTCTAAGCAAAGCTTTGGGGATTATTGGAGACCTTTATGCTCTTTTGACAGTGAGCAGCTGGGGGCAGGAAAATAAAGCAAAAGCTACAGAGAGCAGCAAGCTGCAATGCAGTTTGAAAATCTCTGCATCCTGCTCCAGACCTCGCCTGAGCTCCCCACCTTCCACCAGGCTGGGGTTGGGCACAGCTGCACATACTTGCATTGGGACTAAGTGGAGGTTTGGGGATGCTTTCACAACAGCAGAACTGTGTCTTTGAAGCTCAGAAAGAAATGTTTGTAAACTCATCGGCCAGCACTGGCCCATTTGAGAGAGATGGGCATGGTTCAGGCCTCCCACATTGCCAGTACCGCACAGAGCACTGCACCCAGGTCACCTCACCTTGTCAGCCCAGAAGAACCTGCAACGGGCTCAACACTCACCCAGCGATATTGGGAATGGCACCACATGCACCAACAGCAAGAAAGCAAGATAGACCTAAACCCCACAAGACAGGTGCCAGGCTCTGAGGCAGGTGCAGGAGCATCCAAAACTCCTCTAACACCACTCACCTAGCTCTCCAGTAAGAGACTCAGGGACTTTGCCTCTCCCTCGTGCAGCCTCTGGGAAGGGAAAGTGCCCACAGGAAGCTTAGCTCCACGGAGCAGTTCCGTAATAGTAATAGCAGCAATGCCTGGAGGCCCTGTCCTGCCAGGCACTGCACAGACCCAGACTGCAGTGGAGGTGGACACGATGCCAGGTCCTGCACAGACCCCAACAAGCAGAGGCAGGTCTTATCAGCCCAACCAAGCGCCCTAGTTTTGAAGAGACAGAGGAGACGGGCCCTGTCCTCAAGAGCTCCCAGTCTGGGCAGGTGACTGAGGACTGACCGCTCCCCAGGCACATGGGGGTAGAAGACCAACCACCTTAGGGCCAAAAGATTTTGGGAGAGAGTGTGGCATGCCACAAACCTGGCCCCAGCACAGGTGCCGAGGCAGCCTTTGCAAACCTGGCAAACCAAGCAACTTGCTAAGGGACACAACAGGAGCCCCCAACCCCGCACTTTAAACAGACCCAACCCCTCTCCCGGGCGCTCCCGCAGCTCAGGGGGCTGCCGGACAGAGCCAGGGCGCGCCTGGAGCCACTTGCCCGGCAAGGCGCGTCCAGC